CCAAAAGATTCACAAAGTCATGCCGTATTGTCTGAAACTCGCTAATTACTGTACAGCGAACTGCTTTTGAACGAAAAATAGCTTTATAGCAACTGCTGCAATAAAAAAAAAAATTAAAAGAATTAAAATTCCCCCGCTCATTCTCCCATCCTTCCCGCATTTATGGCTCAAAATTTCACTCCTATCAATGTCGGAAAATCAAAGCTTCCTTCGTTTTTCCTCCCTGTGACAGACTAGGGTACTCGAGAAGTAGTCCGAGAGGTAGTAATTGTTAATAACAGCAGCAATCGTTGGCCAAGCTGCCGATGGCTCTCTCCTTCGAGGGTTGCCTAAGTAAGCGGACGATACGACTGGCTTCCCAGCATATGCTATATCAATTTACCACTGAAACGAAAGAACGGAGTGAAAAAGACACTACTAAAATACATCTATCGTCACTGAAGCAGTAAAAAAAAATAGATTTAACTGATCTGAATTATAAAAATTCCCCGGCTCGCTCTCCCACCTTCTCAATCTGTGCGGCTCTCCTCAGACCTAGTGCAGAACTTACAATGGTGTGTTATTAAATGATAAAAAATTCACTTATAATTAATTTGAAAGCAAAGTACTACTTTGAAGGCGATGCAATCAAGGTTAAAGAACGTTCGAAGAGAATTCATCAAAATCTTAGATCTCAAGGCTCTGTAACTTTTAAGTTACAGAGTGGCTCAAACCCATGGCATCATTCTCACTTCAACTGCTGCTGAAACGGACGCAGTCATTCGAGGCGGAATTAAAAACATTTCAGTTGGGCGAAACTACCAACAACTGCACCTGCCTGTACTGATAAACCTCCCACTGGAGCATCTGGGAGGCTACCCAGAAGAAACAGTTGCAGCCAGCACTGCTGAGAACGAACTGGAAACGAGTAGAAGAGAGAAGTGAAGGTGAAAGAGTCATAAAAACGAGGTAGTCATAAGAGCGAAGTTTAGCATACCTCGTTTTCATTGTGCAATCCTTTCAACACGAGGTGCAGCAAATGTGAATCGACCGCATCCTGTTTTTCGCAGCCATCCATGTTACACTTCTCGAAGTAGCCAATAACGTTGCGGAAGTTCGTTGTTGCCATTGAGCGCAACGACATATCATTAAGCTAAAATTACAAGCATGCTTTTTTATGAACACAAAAATCACAAAAAGCCAACAAACTAGGAGACGATGAAAAACAAAAATGGAG